TCCCTCACTCTGCCACTAGTCACCCCTCCCTCACTGTGTCACCCCCTCCCTCCTTCTCTCACTCTGCCACCAGGTACCCCCCTCACTCTTTCACCTTTCACCCTCTCCCTCACACACAATGTCACCTGTCACAAGTGCATTCACACAGACTCAAATACAAACATGCATTGATACACAGGTCTTCACAATATACACATCCAAAGGAATGCTGTATTATAGGAAAGTTACATTTAACGTTTGTTTAATGAACATATATTTGGCCTTCAAAGGGCCTGGGATCTAATTTTGCCCGTGGGCCCCAAAGGCTCTCAGTCCGCCCCTGAGTAAGGCGCAGGTGCTAGCTTTCCTAGGGTCCGCAGGCTACTACCTCAGATTCGTCCCTGAATATAGTGCCCTTGCCACGCCCCCCACTGACCTGACTAAAATGTCCCTTCCCAGAAAAGTAGTGTAGTCCCCAGTGTGTTTGTGTATAAGGGATGTATTGTGTGTTTCTGTTTGTGTGTACGGGATGCATTGTGTGAATCTGTGTTTGTATGCATAAGGGATGCAAGGTGTGTTTCTGTGTATGTAAGGGGTGCATTGAGTGTTTGTAAGAAATGCATTGTGTTTCTGTGTGTATGTAAAAGAAGCAGTATGTGTTTGCATGTGTGTGTAAAGGATGCATTGTTTGTTTCTATGTATGTGTGCAAATGATGCATTGTCTTTATGTGTAAGGGTTGTATTGTGTATGTGTAATGGATGCATTGTGTGTTTCTCTGTGTGTAGGGATGCATTGTGTGTTTCTGTGCATGGATAGGGATGCATTGTGTGTGAGTGCGCGTAGTGTGAAAGAGCTCCCTGTCCTGCCCCCTGTCCTTAGATCTTTCCCCTGCCCCTTAGTGGTCTCTCATCTCCCCCCACACCTGGCCCTCCCTGTGTTCTTCTCATCCCCCACCCTCCCTGTGTTCTTCTCCCCCCCTCCCCCCCCCGTGTTCTTCTCTTCCCTCCCTGTGTTCTTCTCCCCCTCTCTGTGTTTTTCACGCCCCCCCCACCCTCCCTGTGTTTTTCACCCCACCCTCCCTGTGTGCACTTCCTATTAGTCCGGCCAGGTACAGGAAACGCATGTTCCTGTACCGCGGACCGGAGTGAAGCACAGAAGGACTGAGGCGATGACAAAGAGCGACTAGGAAAGGAGAAAAGGACACACAATAGTCTTGCTCCAGCCCTGGTTACAGGGTAAAATAAATGGCTGACCACTAATTTGACTAATAAGGGACTAGCTTGGAGGGGAGAGGAGACAGCTAGGAGACAGGGAGGGGAGGGGAGGGGAGAGGAGACAGCTAGGAGACAGGGAGGGGAGATCACTAGGGGGCAAGGTCGGAGTGGAAGACATCACAAAGAAACGGGGTAAGGTGCCATATAGACACAAAAAGGTGCTGTGTGTATGTATTCAGCAGTCTGTGTGTGTGTATGTATTCAGCAGTCTATCTGTGTGTATTCAGCAGTGTGTGTATTCAGCAGCGTGTGTGTGTATTCAGCAGCATGTGTGTGTATGTATTCAGCAATCTATGTGTATATATTCAGTAGCCCCAGCTACCTTTCAGAGGATGGCTACACAGGGAAGGGGAGGTGAGAAGAGAGGCAGTGCTGCAGCCGTCTGAGGCTGCCTTGTTCTCCTTATAGGAAGTGCCGGCCCTGCCGATGGGTTTTTCCGGCAGACGGAGTTGGAACCCTGATTGCTTCCCCGGACATCCCCAAGCCAACCCGTCTGGGTCTAGGCAGGTATGCCGCACCATGGAACTAAGGGGGAGCAATGTGACGAAACTGCATCCTTGGTGCCTGTGGCAGAACCCCTGTTCATTCATTCGCATGTTTCCCCCTCTATATTATTGTGTTTCCCCTAGCTTTTCATGTATTATGTCCTGTTCCCCTTTCAGGAGCGTGCATACGAACGGAACCCATTCGTCTCCCGAACGGGGACCTCCCTGGTGCCCCATTAGAATGTTCACACCAATTAATCAGAACGTTCACCTGCAACATAAGGGGAGTAACTAGTGAGTGCTCCTCTGGGTGGCTGCCATTTCGTGTAGACGAACGCCATGCGGGGGGAGCATTTGTATACCAAAAGGAGATTAACGTAAAACACATATTCTTCACACAAGAGTTGAATAAGTAGATTCCTTTATTGCTTGTGCACAAGGAGAGTGTCAAAGAAGACTGCCCTTCCTCTATATAAAAAAAACCAATATCTTATATTACAGTTAAACAACACAACTTACATGCCAGAAACAGCATAGTGACAAAAGATCAGTATCTTGATGTATGCACAAAAACACATAACCCTATAATTGGTTGCGTCTAAACCTACCCATCCTGCTTTGCTCAGTTCAGTCTACTTCTGAATCAATCACCCTAGGGTGACCATTAACCTTAAGGTGATAACCCACCTTTACCTGTATCCATTATGATCATTGAATAGATAAACCAGTTTCTTGTAAAACTAATTGGAGCAAAGGTATGTCTATACTTAACCCTTCAAGCACACAAAGTCACACAGAGGGCAAACATGGCTGATATAAGAATAAGATGGTATCTGAAGAGCTAAGACACTTTCTCAACATTCACAGTCTGCATTCAGAACATTACTAGATCCAACCCTATAGTCTGTATTCAGAACATCATTAGATCCATCCCTATAGTCTGCATTCAGAACATTACTAGATCCATCCCTATAGTCTGTATTCAGAACATTACCAGATCCATCCCTATAGTCTGCATTCAGAACATTACTAGATCCATCCCTATACTCTGCATTCAGAACATTACTAGATCCATCCCTGTAGTCTGCATTCAGAACATTACCAGATCCATCCCTATAGTCTGCATTCAGAACATTACTATATCCATCCCTATAGTCTGCATTCAGAACATTACTAGATCCATCCTTATAGTCTGCATTCAGAACATTACTAGATCCATCCCTATAGTCTGCATTCAGAACATTACTAGATCCATCCCTGTAGTCTGCATTCACAACATTACTAGATCCATCCCTATAGTCTGCATTCACAACATTACTAGATACATCCTTATAGTCTGCATTCACAACATTGCTAGATCCATCCCTATAGTCTGCATTCAGAACATTTCTAGATCCATCCCTGAAGTCTGCATTCAGAACATTACTAGATCCATCCCTGTAGTCTGCATTCAGAACATTACTAGATCCAACCCTATAGTCTGCATTCAGAACATAACTAGATCCATCCCTGTAGTCTGCATTCAGAACATTACTAGATCCATCTCTATAGTCTGCATTCAGAACATTACTAGCTTCATCCCTATAGTCTGCATTCAGAACATTACTATATCCATCCCTATAGTCTGCATTCAAAACATTACTAGAACCATCCCTGTAGTCTGCATTCAGAACATTACTAGCTTCATCCCTGTAGTCTGCATTCACAATATTTCTAGATCCATCCCTATAGTCTGCATTCAGGACATTACTAGATTCATCCTTATAATCTGCATTTACAACATTACTAGATACATCCTTATAGTCTGCATTCACAACATTACTAGCTCCATCCCTGTAGTCTGCATTCAGAACATTACTAGCTCCATCCCTGTAGTCTGCATTCACAACATTACTAGATCCATCCCTGTAGTCTCATTCAGCATTCAGTCTGCATTCACAACATTACTAGATCCATCCCTGTAGTCTGCATTCAGAACATTACTAGATCCATCCCTGTAGTCTGCATTCAGAACATTACTAGATCCATCCCTATAGTTTGCATTCACATTTCTAGATCCATCCCTGTAGTCTGCATTCAGAACATTACTAGCTCCATCCCTGTAGTCTGCATTCAGAACATTACTAGCTCCATCCCTGTAGTCTGCATTCACAACATTTCTAGATCCATCCCTATAGTCTGCATTCAGAACATTACTAGATCCATCCCTGTAGTCTGCATTCAGAACATTACTAGATCCATCCCTATAGTTTGCATTCACAACATTTCTAGATCCATCCCTGTAGTCTGCATTCAGAACATTACTAGCTCCATCCCTGTAGTCTGCATTCAGAACATTACTAGCTCCATCCCTGTAGTCTGCATTCACAACATTTCTAGATCCATCCTTATAGTCTGCATTCAGAACATTACTAGATCCATCCTTATAGTCTGCATTCACAACATTACTAGATCCATCCCTGTAGTCTGCATTTAGAACATTACTAGATCCATCCCTGAAGTCTGCATTCAGAACATTACTAGATCTATCCCTATAGTCTGCATTCACAACATTTCTAGATCCATCCCTATAGTCTGCATTCAGAACATTACTAGATCCATCCCTATAGTCTGCATTCACAACATTACTAGATCGATCCCTGTAGTCTGCATTGAGAACATTACTAACTCAATCCCTGTAGTCTGCATTCACAACATTACTAGATCCATCCCTATAGTCTGCATTCAGAACATTACTAGCTCAATCCCTGTAGACTGCATTCAGAACTTTATTAGCTTCACCCCTATAGTCTGCATTCAGAACATTACTAGATCCAACCCTATAGTCTGCATTCAGAACATTGCTAGATCCAACCCTATAGTCTGCATTCAGAACATTTCTAGATCCATCCCTATAGTCTGCATTCAGAACATTACTAGATCCATCCCTGTAGTCTGCATTCAGAACATTACTAGATCCATCCCTATAGTCTGCAGTCAGAACATTACTAGATCCATCGCTATAGTCTGCATTCAGAACATTACTAGATCCATCCCTGTAGTCTGCATTCAGAACATTACTAGATCCATCCCTATAGTCTGCATTCAGAACATTACTATATCCATCCCTGTAGTCTGCATTCAGAACATTACTAGATCCATCCCTATAGTCTGCATTCAGAAGATTACTAGATCCAACCCTATAGTCTGCATTCAGAACATTTCTAGATCCATCCCTATAGTCTGCATTCTGAACATTACTAGATCCATCCCTGTAGTCTGCATTCAGAACATTACTAGATCCATCACTATAGTCTGCAGTCAGAACATTACTAGATCCATACCTATAGTCTGCAGTCAGAACATTACTAGATCCATACCTATAGTCTGCATTCAGAACATTTCTAGATCCATCCCTATAGTCTGCATTCAGAACATTACTAGATCCATCCCTATAGTCTGCAGTCAGAACATTACTAGATCCATCCCTGTAGTCTGCATTCAGAACATTACTAGATCCATACCTATAGTCTGCATTCAGAACATTACTAGATCCATACCTATAGTCTGCATTCAGTAGATTACTAGATCCAACCCTATAGTCTGCATTCAGTAGATTACTAGATCCATCTCTGTAGTCTGCATTCACAACATTACTAGATCCATCCCTGTAGTCTGCATTGAGAACATTACTAGCTCAATCCCTGTAGTCTGCATTCACAACATTAATAGATCCATCCCTATAGTCTGCATTCAGAACATTACTAGCTCGATCCCTGTAGTCTGCATTCAGAACATTACTAGCTTCATCCCTATAGTCTGCATTCAGAACATTACTAGATCCAACCCTATAGTCTGCATTCAGAACATTACTAGCTCAATCCCTGTAGTCTGCATTCAGAACATTACTAGCTTCATCCCTATAGTCTGCATTCAGAACATTACTAGATCCAACCCTATAGTCTGCATTCAGAAGATTACTAGATCCAACCCTATATACTGCATTCAGAACATTTCTAGATCCATCCCTATAGTCTGCAGTCAGAACATTACTAGATCCATCCCTGTAGTCTGCATTCAGAACATTACTAGCTCCATCCCTATAGTCTGCATTCAGAACATTACTAGATCCATCCCTATAGTCTGCATTCAGAACATTACTAGATCCATCCCTATAGTCTGCAGTCAGAACATTACTAGCTTCATCCCTATAGTCTGCATTCAGAACATTACTAGATCCACCCTTATAGTCTGCATTCAGAACATTACTAGATCCATCCCTATAGTCTGCAGTCAGAACATTACTAGATCCATACCTATAGTCTGCATCAGTAGATTACTAGATCCATCCCTATAGTCTGCAGTCGGAACATTACTAGATCCATACCTATAGTCTGCAGTCAGTAGATTACTAGATCCATACCTATAGTCTGCATTCAGTAGATTACTAGATCCAACCCTGTAGTCTGCATTCAGTAGATTACTAGATCCATCCCTATAGTCTGCATTCAGTAGATTACTAGATCCATCCCTATAGTCTGCATTCAGAACATTACTAGATCCATCCCTATAGTCTGCAGTTAGAACATTACTAGATCCAACCCTGTAGTCTGCATTCAGTAGATTACTAGATCCATCCCTATAGTCTGCATTCAGTAGATTACTAGATCCATCCCTATAGTCTGCATTCAGAACATTACTAGATTCATCCCTATAGTCTGCAGTTAGAACATTACTAGATCCATACCTATAGTCTGCATTCAGAACATTACTAGATCCATACCTATAGTCTGCATTCAGTAGATTACTAGATCCAGCCCTATAGTCTGCATTCAGAACATTACTAGATCCATCCCTGTAGTCTGCATTCAGAACATTACTAGATCCATACCTATAGTCTGCATTCAGTAGATTACTAGATCCAACCCTGTAGTCTGCATTCAGAACATTACTAGATCCATCCCCATAGTCTGCATTCAGAACATTACTATATCCATCCCTGTAGTCTGCATTCCGAAGATTACTAGATCCAACCCTATAGTCTGCATTCAGAAGATTACATGATCCATCCCTATAGTCTGCATTCACAACATTACTAGATCCATCCCTGTAGTCTGCATTCAGAGCATTACTAGATCCAACCCTATAGTCTGCAGTCAGAACATTACTAGATCCACCCCTATAGTCTGCATTCAGAACATTACTAGATCCATACCTATAGTCTGCAGTCAGAACATTACTAGATCCATACCTATAGTCTGCATTCAGTAGATTACTAGATCCAACCCTATAGTCTGCATTCAGTAGATTACTAGATCCATCCCTGTAGTCTGCATTCAGTAGATTACTAGATCCATCCCTGTAGTCTGCATTCACAACATTACTAGATCCATCCCTATAGTCTGCATTCAGTAGATTACTAGATCCATCCCTATAGTCTGCATTCAGAACATTACTAGATCCACCCCTGTAGTCTGCATTCAGAACATTACTAGATCCATCCCTATAGTCTGCATTCAGAACATTACTAGATCCATCCCTAGATCCATCCCTGTAGTCTGCATTCAGAACATTATCTCAGAACATACTATCCCTGTATAGTCTAGCATTCATTCAACATTTCTAAGGATCCATCCAATTCTTGATAGTCTGCATTCAGAACATTACTCTAGATCCATAAGCCTCTATAGGTCCTGCAAATATCACGAGATCATTAACTCAGATCGATCCTCTTGTAGAATCCTGCACTTGACGAACATTACTCAGCTCAGGATCTTACCTGTTTATGTCTGCATTCACAACATTACTAGACTACCATCACCAATATAGTACTGCAGTGTCAGAACAATTACTAGCAGAGTGGGGTGGAGGAATGATACAATACCCCTGGTAACAGAATGCAGAGTGTGGCAGAGGAATGATACAATTACCTCGGGTAACAGAACAGAGGAATTTATGGTAACAGAATACAGAGTTCATACCCCGGGTAACAGAATACAGAGTGTGGCAGAGGAATGTTACAATTACCCCGGGTAACAGAATACAGAGTGGGGTGGAGATACAATCATACCCCCTGGTAACAGAATGCAGAGTGTGGCAGAGGAATGATACAATTACCTCGGGTAACAGAATGCAGAGTGGGGTGGAGGAATGATACAATTACCCCTGGTAACAGAATACAGAGTGTGGCGGAGGAATGATACAATTACCCCGGGTAACAGAATACAGAGTGTGGCAGAGGAATGTTACAATTACCCCGGGTAACAGAATACAGAGTGTGGCAGAGGAATGTTACAATTAACTCGGGTAACAGAATACAGACTGGGGTGGAAGAATGATACAATTACCCCGGTTAACAGAATGCAGACTGGGGTGGAGGAATGATACAACTACTCAGGTAACAGAATACAGAGTGTGGCAGAGGAATGATACAATTACCTCGGGTAACAGAATACAGACTGGGGTGGAAGAATGATACAATTACTCAGGTAACAGAATACAGAGTGTGGCAGAGGAATGATACAATTACATCGGGTAACAGAATACAGACTGGGGTGGAAGAATGATACAATTACCTCGGGTAACAGAATACAGAGTGTGGCAGAGGAATGATACAATTACCTCGGGTAACAGAATACAGAGTGTGGCAGAGGAATGATACAATTACCTCGGGTAACAGAATACAGAGTGGGGTGGAAGAATGATACAATTACCTCGGGTAACAGAATACAGAGTGTGGCAGAGGAATGATACAATTACCTCGGGTAACAGAATACAGAGTGGGGTGGAAGAATGATACAATTACTCAGGTAACAGAATACAGAGTGTGGCAGAGGAATGATACAATTACCTCGGGTAACAGAATACAGAGTGGGGTGGAAGAATGATACAATTACCTCGGGTAACAGAATACAGAGTGTGGCAGAGGAATGATACAATTACCTCGGGTAACAGAATACAGAGTGGGGTGGAAGAATGATACAATTACCTCGGGTAACAGAATACATAGTTTGGCAGAGGAATGTTACAATTACCCCGGGTAACAGAATACAGAGTGGGGTGGAAGAATGATACAATTACCTCGGGTAACAGAATACAGAGTGTGGCAGAGGAATGATACAATTACCTCGGGTAACAGAATACCCTGGTAACAGAATACAGAGTGTGGCAGAGGAATGATACAATTACCTCGGGTAACAGAATACAGAGTGGGGTGGAAGAATGATACAATTACCTCGGGTAACAGAATACATAGTTTGGCAGAGGAATGTTACAATTACCCCGGGTAACAGAATACAGAGTGGCGTGGAAGAATGATACAATTACCTCGGGTAACAGAATACAGAGTGTGGCAGAGGAATGATACAATTACCCCTGGTAACAGAATACAGAGTGGGGTGGAAGAATGATACAATTACCTCGGGTAACAGAATACATAGTTTGGCAGAGGAATGTTACAATTACCCCGGGTAACAGAATACAGAGTGGGGTGGAAGAATGATACAATTACCTCGGGTAACAGAATACAGAGTGTGGCAGAGGAATGATACAATTACCCCTGGTAACAGAATACAGAGTGTGGCAGAGGAATGATACAATTGCCTCGGGTAACAGAATACAGAGTGGGGCAGAAAAATTATACAACTACCTCGGGTAACAGAATACAGAGTGTGGCAGAGGAATGATACAATTACCCCGGGTAACAGAATACAACGACTGGGTTCCTGATAATCCCCCATTACCAATGATAATGTTTATACTAACTCATCATAAAATCACTTTCATATCTGAAAATACTGTGAGCGACTGGAATAACAGCTAACATGTAACCAGAATAATGTAAACGTGACAATAAGCGAACCTTTCTATACATTTTAACAGTGAAAAATCCTGATTGTTGTGGAATGTAATAAGTGATAGGTCCAGTGCTATAATAAGCCCTGGGTAAAAGACCAGCTGCCCCAGGTCACTAAACCTTTATCAATGCTATTTGTGGCAAGGTGATTGCATGGCGTCAGCCCAAGGTCTCAGTGGGGCAGGTAGTCTAAGCAGTGCTAAAACACACCAGAAGGAAATTATGGTTTCTTTACCTCGGGTAACAGAATACAGAGTGGGGTGGAAGAATGATACAATTACCTCGGGTAACAGAATACAGAGTGTGCGTTGAAGGCATTGACAAGGAAATTGCAAAGTTAAGGCCAAAATAACTACATTAGAAAACTCCCCAACTCAGTTTTTACTGAGATCAATTATTTTGGTCTGAACTTTTCTAGTCCCTCAACATTTCCAGAGTCACGGTGGGCCTCGTGATGTCCCAAGGAGTGGTAGAGATGTGCAGCACATTTTATTAACTGGCACAAATTTAGTTACTTAAGGTATTTTTTTAAATTACTGAACTTTATTTAAAGTGACACTAAAGCACATAACTATTACAGCTTACCCTATTATTGCAACTTGTTGTATTGAATTATGTCTATGGGTTTAGTTCTGGTCAGACCATTTTCATTGGAGAACTTGATGAACCCACAGCCCACCCTCTTCTGCTTGGAATGTGATAATGAAGACGTTACAATTCCTTATAAATTCAATATTCACTAATCAGCCACAACATTAAAACCAGTGAGAGGAGAAGTGAATAACATTGATTATATCGTTACCACGGCACCTGTCAAGTGGTGGGATATATTGGGCAGCAAGTAAATGGTCTGCTCTTGTATTTTATGTGTTGGAAGCAGGAAAATGGGTAAGCGATAAGACCTGAGTGGCTTTGACAAGGGGCAAATAGTGATGGCTAGACGACTGGGTCAGAGCATCTCCAAAATGTCAAAATGTGGGGTGTTCTCAGTAAGCAGGGGTTAATATCTACCAAAAGTGGTGAAGGAAAGGAGAACCGTCACGCCCAAGAGCTACTGTAGCTCAAACTGCTGAAAGTACGTAACGCTGGTCATAATACTAAGGTGTTAGAACCAGGGTTGTATTAAGCGCGAGGCTAACAATGTATTTTCAACCCACCTGTCTACCATCCTGGTTCCAGGGACATCAGTCCCACTTGACCCCAGGGAAAGTATCATCTTCAGTTCTTCCAAACTTGTGACTGTGTGTCAAATCAGTGAGTATTTGTGCCTGTCAGTGAATGGGTGTGTCTGTCAGTGAAAGTGTGTTGGTTAAACAGTGCATGTGCCAATAATTGTGTCTGTCAGTGAGTGTCTGTCAGTGCATGCATCAGTGTATCTGTCAGTCAAAGTGTGTGTTGGTCTTGAACAAGAAGAGGTGCGGCCTTGACAGGAAGGTGTGGGGCAAATTTGGCTTAGGGGGTGCCTATGCAACATACATTACAAAAAACAAAACCTAAAATAACATATGTATGTTTAGAAGCGATAACAAAGTATATACACAGAGATGTTCAATGTTCCAAAGTTTTATTTATCTCCAACAAGATAACAAGCACGCCGGCCTGATAGAGTCCTAATGGGGCAAACTGAGGCCAATTCAGCACTGTGCGTGTTGCTGGCATGGCACGGTGTCTGCCTTTGATGTAAAACGCATACAGAAAACATGGATAATACAGAGGCTGTTTATCGAAGTGTCACAAAAGAAAAGTGGTCCAGAATTGCCAAAGTGAAGAAGTTAGCATACAAAATAATGGAATATCCCTGCTGATTCTTTTGGTTGCCATGGTGACTGCACCACTTTTAAAAGCGTTTCCACACTTTCATAAATTCCACTCTCATGGTGGTATTGGTTTTTGGTTTAAATTTAAAGTTTGGGTGTCTATTTGTTAGAAAAAAAAACTGGGTAAATTAAAACCGTTACCATTTCAAACACTGATATACGGAGAACTATAGGAAGTTTAAAACCGAGGGCATTGCCATCCAATGGTTTCACCCTTACCTCATTTACAGATCCCCAAGAAGTAGTAAGGATCAATTTAGGTTACCATGGAGAAGGTTGTTATTATTATTGTTTTATGAGTGAAAAAAGAGAGGTACACTACCAAACGGTGACATATAGTAAAACTGTCCTTATCAGGTAGATTAACCCCTGCTCAGCTAGCACAGACATGGGCGTCCGCAGGAATTTTTCCAGGGGGGGCATAATTGTAATGACATCCATGCCTGGTACCTTTTTGACAGTGTCATGAAAAGGAAGGGGCATAGCCATTATCACATAAAGCCAGGGTGAATAGCGTTTTCACAACTATGGTGTCAGGAATATATGTTTGTATTCCTGACACTATAGTGTTCCTTTAAGCAAATTAAAGGACATTTCTGGTCACCATAACAACTTCACCTAAATGAAAATGCTATGATGCCAGGAAGCCCCTGGGTGCTCGCTTTCCTTTAAGGGGTTAAATCGCTCTCAAATGGTTTAACCCCAAAGGCTTCCTCCAGCTCCAGGTCGCTCAGTGGTATTTGGCTTCTGAAACAGAGTGTCAGGAAGTGCAGATTGGCGTCAGGCATGGGTGCCGCTGATTGGCTAGAGTGGTCAGTTGACGCTCTAAGCCAATCGCTAGTTCCCGGTTCATAAAATATTTTTACTTTTTTATGAATGGGGAGCTACTGATTGGCTTAGAGTGCCAGCTGACCGCTCTAGCCAATCAGCAACACCCCTACCCAACGGCACTCTGTGCTTCCTGACACTCAGTAAATAAAAGTGAACACATTAACACCGATATTTTTTTACCTTTGGAGATGAGAAGGTCCAGCGTTTCCCTGCCAGGCCGAGGTACCAAAGCCTTATGATGTGGTGTCCAGAATAAAGTGGAGGGTTCACTTCATTTGTCCTTCCTGTTCCAATCTCCTTTTCCTCTCCTTCATTTGACAGTCTTTTTTTTTCTTCTGACACTGTTTTCTATCCTTGGCCCCTTCTGCTCTTTTACCTTTCTGCTACTTTCTGCTTATTTTGCGCCCTTCTGCTTCTTTCTCATTCTGATCCCTTTCTGCTCCTTGCAGACCCTTTCTGCTCCCTTTTCTACTTTACCTTTGTGCTCCTTGCTGTCCCTTTCTGCTCTTTCTCCTACTTTACCTTTGTGCTCCTTCTGATTCTTTCTGCTCCTTTACCTTTGTGCTCCTTGCTGTCCTGCTCCTTCCTGCTCCTTGCAGGCCCTTCCTGCTCATTCTCCTACTTTATGTTTGTGCTCCTTCTGCCCCTTCCAGCTCATTTCTGACCCTTTCTGCTCCTTCTACTTTACCTTTGTGCTGCTTTACCTTCCAGCTCCTTGCTGACCCTTCCTGTTCATTTCTATATATCTATAGGCTGCTGCCCCCAAATCTATAGGCTGCTGCCCCCCCAAAATCTATGGGCTGCTGCCCCCCTCCCCAAATCTATGGGCTGCTGCCCCAAATCTAAAGGCTGCTGCCCCTCCCAAATCTATGGGCTGCTGCCCCCAAATCTATAGGCTGCTGCCCCCTCCCCAAATCTATGAATGCTACTTTAAATATATGGGCTGCTGCACTGATATATGAACTGCCTTTAAATCTATAAGGCTGCTGCCCCAATCTATGGGCTGCTGCCCCAAATCTAAAGGCTGCCCCCCAAATCTGTAGACACCTTTAAATCTATATAGGCTGCTGTCCCCCTAAATCTATGGGCTGCTGCCCCCCCCAATCATGAAACACTTGCTTACAAATCTATTTGCTGCCCCAATCTATTTGCTGCCCCCAAATCTATAGGCTGCCCCAAATCTATAGGCTGCTGCCCCCTCTCAAACCCCCCACCCCATCCCCCACTTACCTGATCTGTAGGCTGTCTCTGCCTGCATGTGTTGCTCCCCTGCGGTTTCAATCAGCAGAGAGAAGCAGGGATAAGATGCAGCTTCCTATCCCTGTCTCTCTCCATACACAGCTCTCTCCTACTGGCCGGCGCCGGTATTGCAGTTCATTTTAAATCTCACACGAAATAGCAGAACAGGCTGAAAAATCCAGGGGGGGGCAAGTGCCCCCCCTTGCCCCCCCTGCGGAC